AACGTGGGATTATTAAGTTTGACAATGCTGTAAGATCTGACCTGATAATCATCCATTGGGATGACAGTTGTGCAGGTAAGGCTTCGTCCCAGTGTAGTTTGTGCAGCCAGAGCTCTTGCATGAATATCTTTGCCTTGATTACAACTGGCGATACAAAACCTAGAGGATCAAATATTTTTGCAATCTCAGATAGAATGAGGCGCTTCGTAAATTTATTATCTTGTCTCGGTGTCTGTGTGGTAGTGAATGAAAATGTATCTTGTTGAGGTGACCATTTTAGCCCAAGAATTTTTGTTGTGCAATCGTCGAACGAAACTGCTTGTGGTTGAATGTGACTGGCGTTGACTGCAGTGATGACGTCCTTGTGTGTAGCATACCATTTTGCGAGTGGAAAACCGCCCGCCATGCAGAGGTCTCGTAACTGGAGGGCAACCTTTACCAGCTGCCCGGGAGTGTCCGCAGTTCCGAATATGTCGTCAACGTATCTTCCATGAATTATGGAAGGCACAGCTAAAGGATACCTTGCTCCTTCGTCTTCCACTAATTGCAGCAGTGTTCTCACTGCTAGGAAGGGTGCAGCTCGTGTTCCATAAGTAACAGTTGTCAATTGATAAGAGACTTCTTCATTGTTTTCATTAACCCATAGAATTCTCTGTAGGTCCCAGTCATCTTCATGTACTTTAATTTGTCTGTACATTTTCGTGATGTCGGTGGCAAACAAGTAACGTTGTCTTCTAATCCAAATTAAGATGTCTGAAATGTCTGGATTTAAGTTAGGTCCAGTGTGCATAATGTCATTTAGAGAAAGTCCTGACGTAGACTTGCAGGAACCATTGAATACTACTCTTAATTTGGTTGTAGTGTTATCTGGTTTGAGTACACCGTGGTGTGGCAGATAATACTGCGCCTGATGACTGGTAACTTCAGGAGCCAATCTCATATGGCCAAGTTCCTTGTATTCTGCGTAGGTGTCGGTTTTCGGGAACCTGCAGGAGTTGATGTTACCTGTTCACCTTGTTCAAGAGATCTCACCCTTGTATCGAGAAAGGTCTTTAATTGATCTAGACGAGGGTAGGCGGTGGATGTTCCTAGAGACGTTTCCCATAACTCCACTGTAGTGCGGTCAAATTGTAATGAGATTTGATGCACGAGAATGTAGTTCCACAAGTCTGGTAATATGTCCATTGACAGAAGTTGTTTTACTGTCTCTTGTGCTCTTTTGGCAAGATCTTTCAAGCTCTCTGCATCACCCTTGACTGGTTTAATTGGAGGAAAGATTTTGAGAAGACAGGCACGGATTGATTGGCGTGGGTTCCTGAACTGTTCTGTTAATGTTTCCCATGCAGGCATTAGGGATTCCTTTGTGAGTGCGTATCCCCTTATAAACGGTAGAACTGAGTCGTCAACTGAGGTAAATAGGCAGTGCAGCTTTTCCACGTCACTAATTTCTTTGCTTTTCAAAACAAGTGCCTCGAAGAGGTCACTGAATAAGTCCCAGTCTTCTTGCTTTCCACTGAACTTGGGTAATTTAACTGTTGGCAGTCGACTTCCATGTGTTCTTACCGGATGTAGTGTGGGCTGTTGCTCATTGCACTCGATCTTGAATTTTTGGCGAAGCCTGCTGAGAATCCCTCGTGTCATTACAAATTGAGACGCTTCGGTTGATAACATATCGGTAGGAATGCTGTCTTCAGTGTCTTGCTCAGTGGGCCAGATTGTTCGTAGGTATGCATGTTCCTTATTAAAGGCCTTGTGAATCTCTTCGGCATGTGAAAAGGCATCTAATAGTTCTTCTGCAGTGGTATCAGGGTCTGGCACTGCATACTTATTAGCAAGACCCTGTAATATTTTTATACGTTCAGTTTGATCATTCAATCTTACTGTAAATTCAGATTTTGATCGGGTAGCCGTTGAGCTTCGAAGGGAGGTGGCTCTCCTTGCCTTTGACGTTCTTGCCCCCTTGGCTTCCATCCTGTGTTTACTGTCCCTTTTTCTTTATTGATTTATGTGATAAATGGAATATTCCCTTGGATGTATTGCCTTCTATTCGATTGGCAGACTTAGTATGGCAATATGGGCCTTGATCGTCCACTGTATTCCTTCAATTTATTATCTGACGATGAGACTATCCGGCTCG